GATTTCAAGAGGTAACAGTTTGGAGTAAATGCTTATTAAGTTGATAGATTTTAGTCAATTTAATTGTGTTTTTTTTTGCATTTAACGATATCACTGACTTTTTATACATAGAAAATTTAACCTGCAACGATAGCAGTTCTATACAGTAAACAGGGCCTTATTTTAGTTCACTAATATAAACTTCGATGTTTAAAACGGGCGTAAAAATTTTGTTCGAAGACGTTAGAGGACTAATTATTGTACGTTTGAAAGGTCATATGCACCTCAAGCCAATAAAACTAAAAAATTTTATCGTGACGTCAATTTCAGAAGTTTTAAAGTATTTAAATTCGTATGTGTTTAATTTAACGTCAGCAAAGTCGCTTTAACTTTATAGAGAGGAAATTTAGCATTTTGTATTTACTGACGAACAGGCGAAGTAAGAAATATATGGAAAAAATTAACAGGTCTTGTTAAAACCTTCGTAATGTGAAGAATTTTACAATTCGCGACTAAAAAGGTGAAATTTAGAGTGGGAAATATGTTCAGAAAGGATGTCCATGACGTCTGTACAGTATTGGTTAAATAAGGAGGTTACACCATAAATGGAATTATAAAAATTTATTAAAAGAACATTGTATAACATGTATGAACATTTATGTTGGACTATGAAGACTGACAACATTCTACAAAGATAAAAAGAGGCAAGTGCAAAAGAGGAGAATGGAAGAATATGGTTTTATACTTCGTAATTAGAGTTGACAAGTTTTAAATTTAGTTTGCATGAGTATGAGGTTATTATGAAGGATCACCGTGGTCTATTTTTACAATTTGAAAATAAATAAAAAATCATCTTTAAACTAGGATTTTGTGATTAATTTAACCTAGTGCAGAGAAGCCTATACCTCATCAAAGGAGCCTTTGTTAAAATGTATTATATGTTTTAATACATGAAGTACAACAACTCAATGTTCCTCTTTCTAGTTTGTTATTTGCATTTTTATTTGAGGGAGAAACTTTTCCTTCTTGTTTCAATGTAATAAACCATATTTAATCATTTGTACTTTGCTTGAAGTTTTCTCTTATGCCAAAGAAGACAAATACCTCCAAAGTTTGAACGCTTCTACCAAGGTATTTATATAAACAACTAATATTTGAAATACCATCGATCAATTTTCTATAAAAGCGATTGTGTTAAGTAGCGTAGTCAGTTCTCAAGTTTAGTCACGCTATGAAAATTTTGGAACTTTATGATCATTTATTTCTTTGAAAACCTTTTGTTTTCATTGAGAATCTTTCACTGATCATCAGAAAGTTTAATAAAATCAATTGTGTTTTTTTAATGTACACCGTGAATGTTTAACGACATCAAAACTCAATGTTCTAAAGCTATTCATCCGACATCACTATTTACTTAATAAAAACTTAAACAGAGAATATTGTTATAGTTCATAGCTCGACAAAATAATGCAATCATCGACATTCATTCATTGTCATTGATAACTCGTAGCAAAATTCTTTCATTTTCCTTATTTTAGTCGTACAGTTTGTGTAAATTTTTTGTGAACTCTTCGAGAGTGTAGCTTTTAATGAATTCTTTGCATAGCCATAGTTTATGGCTAGTTTTGAAAGTAAAACTGAGTTGATATTACTTTAATTACCTTGTTGAATTTTTGTTGTAAATTTTTCATGTGAGGTTCAAAATTTTGCTAAAACCAATTGTTTTGTGCATATGAACACCTTCACTGCCCCATTCATATAAATACAAAAACAAATAGTTCACCTTAGATAATAAACTCAAAAGAACATATAAAGTGTGAATGGACTATTAAACAGACAGTTGTAACATTTTGAAAGATCCAAAACATTCTTTGATAATTTTCTTTCCTCCACATATGTATAGTCTTGTAGTAACAATGGAAGTATTAAATTTCCGTAGGATATTTAGCTGTATTTAAGAAGTTGATATTGTCATATTTTTGTAATGTACCAGAATCAAGAAATATAAAATTTCATGATGCCTATTTTGTATTATTTTCTGATCAAAATAGTGCAAGCTGATTGATGAAGGGTAAGTATACTTGCTAGTAAAATATTTTTTTATGTAAAATTCTTTGTGGCATATCATTTCTTTCCCTGTTAGTACAATACAAACAGTAGAGCAAATTGATATGTATATGGTTTCAAGTTCTATTCCATTGATGTAGACATAGTTTTAAACTTATGTCATAAGTAATAAATCACTGGAAAATACTAAAAGACATGAATACAAACACAAATCTGTATTTTACTGTACATATTATCAATGCATTATTTGATCATGAAGTGCATTTGAAAACATTTTCTTGTCTGCATTCTCAGATATTCAAACTCCAAATATATAGTTTATTTATCTGTTCTAATTTGTCATGTAAAATTTTAAATTTTAAAGATGACATTCATATCAGTAGCCACTGGTCTGTACTAATTTGGTTGTAATAAAGTGAATGATTTAAACCTGGGAGTATCGTTACATGTTTGTAGATGTAGATTGTTCAGATTTGTGCAGTCATGAGAAAGATTGTTGTTGTTGATGTTAATTGATGTTTTGTAATTCTTAGTGGTAGTCATCTCCAGAATAAAGTGAGGAGTAAAAGTCAGGTTTTCCATATTTGTTGTCAGGTTCATACGTCATCATATATTGTGTGTACAGGAAATTTGTCTGTTTGTGAATGTCAATTGTGTATTGTCATCATGGATTAGTCCAAAGTAATGTTTTTAGTTGCTCATTTTTTTCAGGTTATTGCTGCCACCCTGGGGCGTGCACATAATCATGACATAACTGGACCCAGTCCTTCTGGCCTAACTATATAGAGGTGCAATCTCGATTTGTTTCTGTCTGTCAGTTTATTTTTTTTCCTTGGGGGGGGGGGAGAGAATTTTTACAGAATGAGCTTACAATCACAACAAAGTAGAACCTTTTGAAATATTTGAGATATTTTGTACTTATTTCTACTTTTATTTAAGGTTTGAGAAATTGGCGATAAACTGTCGACATGATTACGATTCTTTACAAAGTTCTTTCAAACATGGTAATCCTCCTCCACGTTATCATTATGAAAACAGAACATTTCATAACGTCAGGTGATTATTATCTTACTGTGTTTATTTTAATCTTTAAAAAACATTGAGTGAATGTATTTTCTTATTTCTTTTATTTTGAGTGGATTTTGAATAAATTTCGAACTAGAAGTAGCGTTTTACATTCTGCTCTTAATGTCAATTGAGATTTCATAATTTGGCGTAATTTCTTTCAGTGTTGGACACTGTGGGGTGGAGTTAGGATAAATAGAGTTTTGATAATACTTAAGATGAGGGATTTGTTAGGGTGAGGAAGAAGGAAAAGAGTCATGGTGATGGTGTGTAACCCTTTTTCACCTATCTAAACCCTGTGTAACCCTTTCTTACCTATGTATTTAAACCCTACAGTACCGACCTCGAGTAACATGACTTGACTCGCGAGTATCGAATGGCGAGTCAATTGCGAGTCACTCTCGAGTGTGAGAAGTTTGCGAGTGAATGAACTAACTCGCAAAAATTTTTTTCTCCAGTATTTGAAATTGACAAACATAATCTTAAGTGTAGTGACAAGCAAAATCACACCATCTCATTCATTTTTGTCGACGTGAAGTCAATGAAATTGTTTCAGAAACCAATCTCATATTTGAAACATTTCTACTGGCAAGTGAATCGCAAAAGTTCTAGCCATTTACTATACACGTGGTCTTATATCGTTCTTGCTATTAAATGTCTATGGCCTTTATATCAATAGCGACTACATCCAAAACTCCAGGTCAACGAAGTTCTTTCAGAACCGAATTCAAAAGATTATACGTACACTCATCGCATAGCTACATTTCTTAAATATTTGGCTTTAAAGAATAATTAAATAATTTTTTAATGCATTCTTTCCTAAGATTATATATGTCCATAATCTAAGACTGTTAGAAGAAAATGTTTGAGCGCTATTTCGATTTACTCATTGATTGCCTGACATTTACATTACATTTCTCTATGGTCTCTACCGCTTTACGAATAACGTTTGTGCCATGAAAAATGTGAAGTTACTAAAATGCTTTTGTAAAAGAATTCAAAAGATTTTAACGTCATTAGGTCCCGAGATATTGCTTCAAATGAATAGTCGTTTTGTTCCCACGTTGTTGCATGTCAATGTCACTCCACGTGACTTCCTTGTGAGAGATGAATTCTAGATAGAGATATATAGCAAGCGCACGATATATAGTACGAAACCGATGTATAATTGAACTCAAAAATCTGGCATTAAAAACTATTACACATGTTTCATAAAAAGATATAAAACCGTTGCCTTCAAAATGTTCAACGAATCTTACTTGTCACTACACTAAAGATTATGTTTGTCAATTTCAAATACTGGAGAAAGAAATTTTTGCGAGTTATTTCGATTCACTTATTTACTCGCAAACTTCTCAAACTCGAGAGTGACTCGCAACTGCATCGAGAGTGACGAGTTGCGATTGAGCGAGTCACTCGCCATTCGACACTCGCTAGTCATGTCATGTTACTCGAGTCAAGTCATGTTACTTTTTGTAACCCTTTATCACCTATCTAAACCTTGTGCAACCCTTTCTCACCTATCTAAACCCTATGCAACTCTTTCTTATCTACTTAAACCATCAACACCCCAAGATTAAGTTCACAAATAATAATGTTCTAACATTTCGTTAGAGTGACTATATTCGAAGACTGACTACGCTACTGTATGTAAAGTTTGTTTTGTTTTCAACCTGACAGATTGAATACAGATTTGGGTGACCAGGATTGTGATTTAAGAATCGTCAAATGCATCAATATTTCACTTCCTTCAGGTAAATATGTCTTTTCTTCATTATTGTTGAATTGGATTAAAATCTTTCTGCTTAGGATTTAGGATAAAATATAATGGATTAATAAGGTGTCTAGAGGATTAATAAGTGTCAGGTCAAGCAATGAATGTTTGATCTGATACATACATCTATAAACCTTAAAAATCAATCTTTAAAAAATTTCAATATACTTCAAGGTTACAACAAAGACGATATGAAAGTGAATGTGTCCTATGAATTTCCCTTTCTAAACGTAAGTTGGTTTATGTTTCATTTAAGAAATAAAAGATGTTTACTCTGTTTACACAGGGTTATGCAAACCAAGTAGACCTTTGAGAGCAGATCAGTGCAAGCCTGAGACCAAAGGTCGAGAGTTGCAGAAGCTCGAGAGTTTTCACAAACGTCTCCTAGGTTTGCATAAGCCAGTGCAAACACGAAAAACATCTTTTATTTCTTTTATAAAATAACAATAACGCGAAAAAGACAAACATTTTACTTTTTCCTCAAAAATGATCAGTTTGCAAATTCGTTTTGATTGATTTGATTGGTTGAGCTCAGATGTGTTTTGCACAGGTTAATGCAAACACAGCTCTAGACCAATCAGCGCACGTGTTTCATTGTGTTTATTTTATAAAAAAATCACATTAACACTACAATGATTCACCAACATGACTGTGAATTGACATCTTTGTATGATTAGACGCAACGCAAGAGCGTGCAATTGTGACAAACAATGGAAGCATTGTTAACAATTTTGTTAGACAATAAAATCATTGTTCAAGCAGTTGTTCTCATTACCGTTGAACAAATTCTATGTTTTGCAAACGACAGATTTTGCTCATGTAACAAACACTTTCTCACTTTTTCTTAAATCAATGTTATTTGTCTACACTAAATTTTAAAATCACTCAACTTTAGGATCAACCTCAAACTGGCTTCACGGAAACCATCAAACACAACATTAATCTTGGTAAGTTTTATTCGAAATGAATGACATCATACAGCATTGGATCCCTGCATGATCTTGTAATGAGGGGTGAGTGGGGACTGGGGAGGAGTTGCTTTACTATGGACCATTGAACTAAAATACGTGGAACGCTACCTCAAGCAAATAATTGAAGCCATATCTTACCCCAGACACGCGAGATTTTACCCCAGACACGCGTGTTTGGTGTTTCGAGATTCTCTCGCGGAGTAATAATTGATTGACTACACACGCGTGTCTGGGGTAAAGTCTCGCGTGTCTGGGGTAAAATCACGGCTTGAAAAAATTATTAGGGTTTTGTATTACAGGTAGCGTTCCATGTATTTTAGTTCAATGCTATGGACAGAATGGTCGTCTTACTTTAGTACTCATGTCGTCATTAATATCATATGTTGTGGTTATTGGAGTGGCATTGGGGGCTGGGGATGAGTATTTTTACAAGGGACAAAATGGTCGTTTTACTTCAGTTCTCGAGACGTCAATAATATCCAATGTTGTGGTTGTAAGCTTTTTTGATATGCTAGAACTTTCCCACCTCATTAAATTCATTATTCTACATCCATGATCAATTACGCTGTTTTTTCGTATAGAATTTGATCAAAAGTTTAAGATATCTATCGACAGAAAAAACCGATCGTTGGCGAGAATATTTCGACGACAAAGTGTGAAATTTGAAATAAAATACAACAGGTTTGTCGTACGTGAGATGGATGTTTCATTGTTTTACATTATGTGAAATATTTTTTATCGTCAGTAAATGTTCAAACCATTCAGAGGATTTCTGAAAGGTGACAAGACGCTGGCTCAAGCTTCTCTTAAGTTATCACCGTTTGATAAAAGATGTGAAATTCACGAATGTCTTAATGTAAGTAATGTGTGGTATTTTTTTGAACTTTATAAATTAATAATTGCAGAAACTGTGTTTAAATCATTGAACTATATATAACTGGACGGCCACCCACCCGCTAAAATTTGAAGACAACATTTCGGTAAGCTAAAATGCCGAACTATACGCGTATAGTATAAGCTTTGTACAAATATAGGCATGTGTACCCAATGTAGCATTTGACACTTCACCATCTTCTTAATGTCTGCCACGTGATCTGTAAAGGCAGAAAAAGGACTAGAACTAGTTTTCCATTTTGACCTCCATTATTTAATAAACACATCATACGTAATGTCACTTAAAATACATGTTATCTCGATTCAAAATTTACGTACTTAAGAACGATTGCTGTCGTAAGTGGACTTAATTACAATTGCAGCTTATGCATCCCAAGAAAGTTCGCAAGGTGATTGGTGGAAAGATTGAAGTCAAATTACGTATTCGTGAACCTCTGACAGATAAAGATGTTGAAATCTTGACGAAAAATTGTTGGTCATAGATGCATTTGTAGCACCAACAAATAGAGTGAGTATATAAAGTTAAGTTGTGTATAAATATATAGTTTTCACAGGGTTGTGTTTGTTGCATTGAACTAAAATACATAGAACGTTACCTGAAGCAAATAACTGAAGCCAAATCTTACACCCAGACACGCGAGATTACACCCAGACACGCGTGTGTAGCGTTTTGAGATTCTGAAAATTGATTCACTACACACGCGTGTCTGGGTGTAAAATTTAGCTTCAAGAATTTATTAGACTTTTCTATTACTGGTAGCGTTCCAGATGTATTTTAGTTCAATGGTTTATAGCACGAAACCATGATTACGTTAGACTGAATAGTGGATTTTTAAAACTTATTAAAATGTTATACGTACTGTATGCAACAATGAAACTGTCTTATATTGAAATGGACGTTTTAGTTTATCTATAAAACATTTGAAGTACACGAGCTATACTATAGATAAATATATATTCTGGATACAGAAACTCAAGGACATTTTTTCCTTTCCATATAACTGAGTCACATGTCTCCTCATTCTATCCCCTCCTTCGTATTTCGTTAAATATTCACCGTTGCGTATTGGCTGTTATAAAATAGTTTGCAATTGGTTGTCTTTCTTAATTTTTTAGCCAATCAGTGCTTCGTCAACAAGTAAGGTATAAATCCTTTGATATGTATAATATATGGATAGCGCACCATGTATAAAATATAGGAAAATTGAAGCCGGAAGTGTGTGCATTTGCTTATGACCTTCGTGGGGGGGCTGTAGGACACACTTTCCTGTACTTTTGTTGTAGAAAATCACAGTTTTCGCGTTTTTATTCCTTTTACAAAGCATTGATTGAAGCAAAATTTTTATCAATTGTACAGGAAGACCGATAGAGAATTTCAACCCCTTGAGTTATGTTTTCTCGGCTTGTACAAGCTTATACATCCCATTTTCAGTAGCTATGTATGAACACGAATCAGATCTGATTTTTTCACTAGAAATATCACTTCATGTTTTTTAAATGTTCAAGATCAACAAAAGCGATAGGAAACATATAAAGCTCATGAAAGCAGAAAATGATCACATCGTCAATATATATTTAAAGAAATGTGGGGCATACACTCTGCACAACTTCACGTTAAATTTTTAACAATGAATACTATCCATATATTATACATATCAATGTATCAATCAGTTAATGGCAAAAGTTTTCTATCTTCCTTTTTCTTTGAAAGATCTGCGTCTTTCTGTGTTAATAATTTACTATTTTAAACTCGGATTGTTTCTAAAATGATTCAAAATGTTTTCTTTTACAGCTTAAAAATCCAGAAAATGGCAGAAAAGCAAAGAATTCAAACCAGTAAGTGCATTAATTATCTTTTATTTTAGGCAATATATGATACCAAGTTATCACTGAAATAATCTAAATTTTTTAGGAATAAACTAAAATTTTTAATACAACGTTAAATTATAAAGTAAACTATAATATAACTAAACATAATTTTCCTTCTCACATTTCTGTTTAGATCTAAAGTTTGTACGATTGAATAAAGATGCTCTTTAAAATTAATATATTTCACTAATATGAACAAAGTGTAAAAATCTTCTAATTTAGACTTTTTATATTTTGATATTTATTACGATATTTATTTCGTGTCATTTCAACATTAACTCTCATAAATGAAATTGTCGAATATTTATCTGGATTATTTCCTTGTAACTAATTTAAAATCCACTACATAAATAACTCGTGATTTTGTAATATGCTCTAAAGTAGTAAAGACAGTCTAAGATCTAGTTCAAACGTCGAACTTTACATGAGCCGAACGTATTTAAAACAAAAAATAATGAGAAAGCTCATCTCATTTTCTTTTGTCTTTAAGGCGTTTGGTTCATGTAAAGTTCGACCTTTGAAACAGACCTTAAGTTCATTATACTTTTAGTAATATTATTCGTTTTATAGAATGTGAATCATCGTTCGTTGTATTAAAAGGAATTTATTGTCGCCTCGATTATAAATGAATTCACAGACAATTTCATTTAAAGTTGACATTTACTATATTGAAAAAGTTGTAAATATCATGCTTAAATGTATAAATACACTTTCAGTGTTTAAATGTTGACGTTATCGAGTCATTATACAACAGAAGAAATATATTTTGTGTCTTTTTGTACTTAAATTCTGTTTGCTCTAAGGTTGAGTGCATATGTGAAAGACAGAGAAAGGTTTTTTAAACATAAATTGTACAGAAAATGACACTATTCAGTTTTGAAACTTTACCTGTAAAAAAATTCAGCAGTTGACACAAGAACAGTAGTAGTAATTGCAACTTCATGTACTGCAACCTCAGAAACAAATACAACAGCAGGTAGACATAAAGGTGGAGATGAACGACTTTTAAAAGAGTTGTAATTTAATAAGAGACGACATGAACGACATTTCAAAAAATGCAGTCAAATGTTGTTAATTTATGTAATCAATGACCGGCAGTTAATGCAGCCAATATATTCAATGCAATCGATTGCATGAAATGGATGTAATTGATTACATATTGTTAATGTAGTACAAATAAAGCTCATGTAATCATTAACAACATTTGTGTCTCTGACATTGGCATGTAAATTTTCAAACAAATGTTTCAATGGTTTTTAAAATTAAAAAATTGTTATAGCTACGTATTAATGATAAAATAATGCACTACAAAACTTTACACGTAAGTAGCACGTTAATTTAGAAATACAAATTTCCCAAAAAAATAATGGTATGATAATTGAACATTTTTAATGTAAGCAGGGGGGACTGACCTATAACATCACAGGGAAATTTTCCTGTGCACATGTCACTTATATGTTTTTTGCACCCCCCCCCCTTTTTCAAGAAAATTGATAAAGAAAACAATGGTAAGCCTATTGAAGTAAAACAGAGGAAAGATAATATTTTTGCAATGGTGAAATGCGAAAACAATCAAATGTGCCCTTACATCTACATTAAAGATATTTAAAATTGTTTAAATATTAGCAGCTAATGGTCATTTTTGTTACTTCTAGTAAAGTATATTTTACCTCAAAGCATTATGTTCAACTGTGCAAGAGGGTGATTTTGACCAGCCTAGTACTTGTAACATGATGTAATTCTTAAAAAACTTAATGTGCAAAATCTTTTTTGTCATTTTATTAGTCATCTAGTTTATTTGAGTTTTCACAGTAACTTGGTACAACTGACTTGCTGTATTGAGATAAACATTAATTTATACTGAATGGTAAATTTTGTCACATGACATTTTCATGTGACCGTTGTAGTAGTATCATTTATGTATCAAGTTAATAATTAATTACGTTGACCATGTGCATGCAAATGGAGCTTCTGTAAATCCATTCTGTGAAATAAACTTATATTTGGATTCTTGCCTACCTCCATCATCATGAGTTCAACAAGCTGTCAATAATTTACACTCAAAATAACAGTAAATGCACTTTCCACACCTCCCCCCTCCGTACAAATAACTACTTGCCACAAAACATCACCCTTTTTTTAGTTTTCTCCATGAGTCATGAACAGGCAAGTCTCCTCCTGATTCTAAAATAAATGGAAGTGTGAAACTATTGTCAAGTAAACATAAATGATCACAGGGAAAGGTTTACTGGGGGTTGCAGAGATGAGGGTGTACACACATCCTACCCTTAGTTAGATGGTGTGCAAGAGGGAAGTTAGTTTCCCTATAAAATGTTACTATACAATGTAGTTGTGACTTGCATTTGATGGAGCTGACTTCCAAAAAAATATCAACCAATCATGGCTAGCCTATGTCAGGGGTCCATTCTTGTTGTACGGGTCTATGCAAATTGCAATATTAAAAGAAACTTGCTCCTGCACACAACATATGTCGCATCTGTTTAAGCAATTGCATAAATTATACTGCTTCATTCTGGCTCACAGGAGTGGCCTCCAACTTTGTTCTGATATCATCTTTATAAAATTTTTATCATTTTTGATTGAAAAAACTTGACAAAACAAAATACAAACAAAATATAAAAAAGATAAACTCTGCAAAGCTGGAAATAACTTATTTTACAATTGCTTTTTAAATTATGTGTTTGCAAATTAAAATCACAAAAATAATAAATTTTGAATAAAACAATTTAATTTATGCAACAGCTTAAAGGAATGTGACATATGCAGTGTAATCTTTTCTTCATTTTACATAGATCCTTACATGAAGTGTACGTCTATGGCATAGGTTAAATCATGGCATAAGAGTGAGAAAGTTTAAGATAGTCTAACGTGGCAGGGCAACCTCTACCAAGTTGCCACTAAAATCTTATCTAAACTAGAGCACAGGTCCACTACAAAATCATCTTGGTTTCATTTCTATGTCAAGTAATTATAAAAGATCATAGTTTAATATTAACCATAAAATGTGTGATTGATGTTGTCTTCAAATAAGCTTCTCTCTGTAACATTGGCTGTCTAAATCTAAAAATTTGACATAATCTCACAGCTTATCATTTGCTTAACCAGCAGAAATATAATAACCACAATCTTCAACAACACTCTTTATGGTTTAAATAGTGCACACATACAACAGGATTTTACCTTAAAGGAACCATTTGAGTTCTTCATATATGAAGGTAGAAAAATATTTAGCAGTACAAGAGCCAATGTGATCAATGTTTCACAGAAGAACATATGATTGAATTCAATGTTGTTGACCGCTCAGACTTCTAACAATCTTGGTAATAACGTATTTTATGTTAATATAGATATATATGTATAAAAAAATCAGGATTACCTACACCAAAAAATGGAGTCAACTATGGTGGCCCATCCCATTGTTTCCAAAGCATTTTTAAGACATGTTTCTAATATTGCTTAAAAATTTATGTTTAAATTTTTTATGTTTTTTATTTATATTCAAAATTATAATTTTTTTTGCCATGTTAAAATTATGTCTTAAAAATTGCTATGGTAACAATGAGCCACTATACTACGGAGATATTTCAACTTTCTTCTAATATTTGTAATTAACTTACAAAAATCGCAACAGAAAAAGTTATCCAACCATGTATCAAAACCATATGTCGTATACCCATAATTTTCAAGGAGTTTTATCCAGTCAATTATCTATAAATTTTGATAAATTTTCGTAGATTCTTTTCAAGTGAAGATTCATTATGCCGACCGGTGTTTTGTACCTACTACAGTCTGACTATAGAAGTAATGTTTGGTTGGTGACTTAAGTCAGGAAACTTTGACAAAAAATTGGTAATTTTGATCGATGTTTGGATACCTATTTTCTATTCAAATAATTTTTCAGAATCATATTGGTAATTTATTGTAAAATTCTCGGTAAAATATGTAAATCAGGCGACAAGGAAGTGAATCAGAATGATCTCGTGACGAGCCCATCCTTACATTTGAATACAACACGTCTACACTACAATGCAACGAAAGGCATAAATGAAGAAATATTTCATTATAAAACTGTGAATTTACGTTGTGGAACGAAGAAATGAGTGCTGAAATGTAGAAATAGTCGTTTTGGGTCATATTTGGTGAGTAAAATTCTATAAAACATTGATTTTAAAACATTGTTTAGCTACTCTTTATATTGTATCACAGATTTTACTAACGTTTTGTATTTAAACTTTGATAAAAGTTTTTCAGTTGGCCGTTGATTTGTTTAATTTTAAAATTTTGTAACTTATTTTTGTACCATTATTTTTCTTCGTTTTTAGTTTGAAGTTCAAATAAAGGTTTCACGATTAAAACCAAAGATTCGATCTCCATTAAAAATAAGTCAGAGTATTTACAGCATTATATTCTAAATAAATTTCTTTTTTGAAAATGTCTTCACCACCTGATAAACTGAAGATTGAGGCAAACGGATCTCGTTTAAGTAAACTTTAGATAAATAAAGAAACCCAAGCCTTAAAAACAACATTGCAATTAAATTTTAACAATTTATCATCAAGTTTGATGAATGAACTTAATGATTCTTTTACAATGAACAAATTGACTTTACTAAAAAAGAAAAAAGTCATCAATGAAATGCAATGGGATCTTCTTTATCCATCAACTGGTTAACCTGACATTAAAAACTTTGATATTTCGTTATTGACTGTCTTGTTACATAGGATGCTGAATTTTTCTTTATAAACTGTAACTGACACTAGTGCCAGTCCTCGAGAATCAAAACAATATTGTTGTTAATGTAAACTTACAAACGCGTATTCTATTAGTACTTCTAACTCTTTATCGAAAATTTATGAATCATTGCGATCTGGATATAAATGGGGACAATTGGTAATGATACTTTACTTATATTCTGTTGTTTTGTTTATTGTTTGTTCATTTCCCATCAAATTCTAAGTACATTTTCTGTATGTATCTAGTTGACATCTACTATCAATAATACCAAAGTTTGCGTGCGGGTGCCAGAACTTTTATGCTGCAGGAGTTATACTAACTATACTTGTCTATAGAAATATGGGAATACATGAAAATTTATGTAGAAGGGGGAACATGTCCAATTTTGCATCACCTTCCTTCTTTGCCGACGCCACTTTTGACTAAACTCTGTGTGTGTTATTTTGAAAGTAAAGAAATTAGCAAAATAAGTCGAATCTATTTTTTTTGAAATGGTATTCATCCTCCAAAGTGAGCTTTTAAAGTTGTAGTTTTGACCATATTAGTTTAGTTTTATAGTTTACTTTATTACATCTTTTACTGTTGTATCTACAGTGTCTTTTATTGATCATAAGTAATTGTAATTGCGTGCAGTTGATGTTTGATATGTATTCATAATTTACAATGGTTTATTCAATATGAAAGGTTTTTTATACTATGAACTGACTTATGCAAGAAAATACATGTATGGAATTTTTGATTAATGAAGTGAAAAAATCCATTCACAGTTTCGAAAATCTTGTCTTAATCATTGATATTCAAATCCTGTCTTAGATAGGTGATCATCTATTCCAAAGTTAAAATTTGCGAAACTTTATAACGTTCAACAGCAGTCCTTTGGAGTTTTACTAATCTTAATGTTAAATATGCACTGTGCTTGAGGTTCTTGTTTATGTATTTCTATTTCTATAACAATTGCTTTTAGTCAGTGATATATACTTAGTTATAGAATAATACTGTTTGTTGAAGGAGATTCTGACTCACTCTTCATCTTCGTTCGTTATTTAAATGTATTTATGTAACAAAACTCATATGGATAAAAAGTTTATGTTTCAATAATGTATGAATTATGATCACCATTTTAAACTGATATGTGTGTAGTCGCGTTTTTTATATTGAATCTCTCATCTTTTGTTACTTACGTAACATGTAAACAACTAAAGCAAGCATAATTTTGTCCACACGATCGTCGTATATGAAGTCTTATTTTTAAAACAAAGGTAATTTTACGTAAGTTAACCGAGATTTTGTATTTACATTTCTAATTTAGCAAATTTGATACGGAAGCATTGCGTAGTATGAAGTATGACTATAAACAAATCAATGTTTATTTCCATTCCAAATGAAAATCGTTTGAATGATTCTATAAGTGACTTTTAAAGCTATATTTAATACCACGACTAGAAAGTAGATTTCATTTTGTGTTTCAAGTTATCCACTATAAAAATTGCGGCTCTTACACGAAGAAATGGTTTGATAATAAATAATTCTGAGTCAGTGATGTGCTTGACATTCACAGTTTCCACGTCATAATATGACAGTTCTTTTTAAATATAATTAAACTTAAGTAAACAGTACAATGTACAAATGTAAAGTAAAGATTAGGTTCCAGGGGTCAAAATGAACTCATGATAACGTATATATTTCATCATCAAGCATTATTTTTTAATATAAGTACACTTTAGTAAACAATACATTATATAAATGTAAAGTAAAGATTATGTTTAAGTGGTCAAAATGAACGCCAGATAACGTCATGTTTCATCATCATTCATTTTGCCCGTAATTTATTCTTAGATGAATTTTGATTCAGCTTTTACACCGAGAAACTGAAATCAAGATTCTTGTTTTGTTTTCCAACGTGTCTAACTGTTTTAGTTACTTGAATTAAATCGTGTAACAACACAAAGTCGAGAAATTATCACTGCCTGTCAGGCCAGACCCTCAGTGAGGTAATATGCAAGGGGGCATTTTGCCTTGGGCCAGTAATATAATAGGTGCCGGCGCCACCCCATTTGGACACATGAATATTGCAAAATTGAAGTTTATAGAAAAAGTAATGAATGATTTGTTTATTAATTGTACTTTTCTTACGTTATCTCATCATGCAGAAGACATTCATCAATTGTTAAGTTTTTACAAATTCTCGTAGCATCTTCAAACGGAATCACGCTTTAAAGTGGTACTATGACGAAAATTTTGCCTCTCGTTTTTTTTTCATAGATTAATAGTGTATGTTAAAAAATCTCTTCTGGCGAAATTTTAGCGCAATGTATTTCATGCTGCTCGAGTTACGTAGCGATAAAACTTGAACTTTAAGAGCCTCCATTAAAATGCGCCATATTTGAATTTTCAAGAAGGAAGGTGCTTGTGACGTCATAGTCTTAACTCGCGGCTGTTTACAATATAACACTATATACAAATAGAGATTTAAAAGGTTGTATAACTCAATTTTTTAACATGCCTTCAACACGCTGTGTCGTGCAAGATTGCAGTAATAAGTCTGATAGAAGTACAGGCATTTCATTACATAAAAGCCCAAACGGCGAGTCTTTGAGAAGAATTTGGGTTAAATTTGTTCAGACGAAGCGCGCAAACTTTAATCCGAGTTCGCGCAAAATTCGATTTATGATTTGTTCGAATCACATCTCGGATGATTGTTTTGAGCGTTTATTCCATTTGGGTGGTATGACTAGACGGCTCAAACCTGGTGCCGTACCTACTATTTGGAAGAAACCACAAACACCAACAACGTCAAGAGAGCGGCGTCAGGTTAGCACAAGTTGCAATTATTATATACTTACACATATTGCAGATGATAAATTTTCACAATTTGAGAGAACCAATAATACATCCAGGCAAACTTTCAATATATAATATACATTTATACTAAGGTTTTAAAGGAAATACAAAATGAAGTGTCTGTATCATGCGATGACCTTTGGTCTTTAAACCTAACGAAGCTGCTTGAAGAACAAATTCGTTCAGGCAAACTTCGTTAAAGCCAGGGTGATCCAAAATGCATTTCCTTTCATCGATTTCGAACTGATACATTTTACCACGGCATTGCTCTATTTCCATGCAGCATCGGCACTCTTGAGGGTTGACAACAAGATCCAACGAACAATGGCCACATTCACACCTTTAATGTTGGCCAAATTGTATGTTTCCATAAAGTTATCATAGCTAACGGCAGACGATTCAGATCAAAGTAACACTCTAAGAATGACATCTTACCATGAAGTAACATCAACACGGGCATCAAAACGATATTGCAGCATGTCTTCAACCCGCCGTTCTTCTGCGACTGTAGCTTCGTACTCAGCAATTTCATCGGGCGAAGCAAGCGGTTCAATATTATCGAAAAATGGCAAAATTTCCGAATTAGATTCGTTCAAATTTGCCGTCACAAATTCCGATGAAGAAATCGATGCGTTTGTCTCGATCAAAGACTCAGAGAGCGAGCTAGATCTCGATGAATTTGACATTTTTTTGCTCTATTTATGTTTTTCTTTGTATACTTTCCAATGTGCGCTTCTCTCCGTGTTAAGACTATGACGTCACTGACCTTTGCTGATTGCAAATATTCAAAATGGCCGATTTTAATGGCGGACATGAAAATTAGACATTTCAAATGTTCATAACTCCCTCGTTATATTATTATTTTTGCTTAATTTTACGAAAGCAATAATTGATATGTGTTTAAACTATTGAATGCTAAAATCGATGATTTTTTAACGTTAAGTTTTCGTCATAGTACCACTTTAAGTGTTATCAATATGAGCAGGCATGTGGCTAGGATGTAAAATTTGGGGGATTAACAACATTTTTTTGGGGGGGGGGAGAGCAGTTGTAGACGTCAAGTTAAACTGTATTATAACAATAATATAATCTATCACTATTTAGTTTTTGTGGGTAGCCGCTGGGCATGGGCGGCTAACCACTATGCCATACTGAA